TAGGAATTAATACACACACACACACACACACACACATATATATATATACTGATCTAATGTTTTATATATCTCTTTAATCTTGTTCCTTAGGCAAAAAGATATAAAAGAATTAGATACGAATTTAAATCTTTCCTTTTAGAGTTAAGAAACATATTTAAAAATTAAAGATTTTTAACGGATCTAGATAAACTTATTTAGGAATTAATGCGATCGTCCGACACATTTAAATTGATTTAACTAAAAATTCGATTCCTAAAGTTCAGCAATATTCTGTCACACATTTCTTAATCGCCGGCCACATCTCGTCGGTGGTATTGCCATGAAATTCCCTCAGTATTCCAATCTCACGATAAAACTGCACGACTGGCTCAGTTTTCGTTGCGTAATCCTGCAATCTTTTCTGCACGACTTCTGGTTTGTCGTCTTCCCTCTGACATAATGGCTCACCTGTTACATCATCCTTTCCCTACAAAATACAATATTTGTATTTAAACGTCAAAACATTTGACTAATACGTCCAACGATTTTATAATTAGATCAAAATATTGTTTAAATTCTATTATATAATTATAATTAATTAACAAAACACCGAGTGACATCCGAGTGAACAATTATCTTTCACTTTCTCTTTTCTTTAACAAAACAAATATATTAGATAATTCGAAAAAATTGTAGAAATTTTAAAGATGAATTGGAACACGATTTATTAATATTTAAATGTACTTTTGTTGTAATAACATGATCATATTTTTTCATCTGTTATCTTACTGTAGAAAACTTAATTACTCTATTTGCCTAAAATTTTTTTTACCAAAAATTTTTCAATGTGATTTTTACACTCCTCGAAACAGTTAAATTTCTTATCAATATTTAATATTGATATGTTAAAAAATTTTATAGAAAATTTTAGAACGGGACAAATAAAAATCTGTAAATGCAAGATAATGGAGATAAAATATCCCAGTTAAATTTTAATAATTTTTATTGAAACTTTGAGAAAACTGGCATCATCATAGTAAAACACAATGCTTTTTATGCTTGTCATCAGTCTTTGTACGAATTTAATATCAACTTGGCGACAATTTGCTATCAATTCGCTCACTGGAAATATATAAGATGTCATAACTCGATATGAAACTGCAGAGCCGCGCCGCAGTTGCATCGTCATCTCTCACAAATTCTTACGAATTTTTCTAACAACCTAACATATTCGTTGCTGATTACCGGCACTCGTGGATCGTTGAAGCCAATGTTGTAGACTCTACCACTTGGCAGATGAATCCACCTGCTCTTGACCCGGTCGAGTATGACATTGGTCGGCACCACGAGATTCAGCACGAGATTGATCGGGTGCAGCTTCTGCAGTTGTTCCGCCTGCGCTAACGTTCTCGGGAAACCTGCCAAGATATTTATTCATGTTTAGAATTTAGTCGGCAGGTTCACGATTTCCTAAGATAATAACCTTGGCTGCGACGAGGCCAAAATCATTCACTTCCACTCACCGTCCAGCAGCCAATTCCGATCTGCCACTGATCCGATCTCGCTACCAATAAGGGATATCATTATGTCGTCCGGTACGAAGCTACCACTGTCCATATATTTTTTTACCTCTTTACCCAGATCTGTGAAAGAGATCTTTCTCTAGGAATGCTTTGCCAACGGAAATTGCCAAAAAATGACACGTGTCTCTTTTCGAGCTTTCATTGATTTATAATATATTGTATAATCGCAAAAATTTGCTGGAATTATAGACATCCTATTTTAGGCGCTTTGCACAAATTAATAGATTGACAAACTTAAAATCTTACAAGCACGCGATGACAGTGGAAATTTGTGGAAATTTGATTTTATTAAAATTCTAAGTTTTGTATGTGTGTGCGCGTGTGTGTTATATATTATATATAACGTATTTTCATATATAATGAGTAATATATAAAATATAGTATGAAAAATATATAATAAACATTAGTAGAATATGTCAATCTGTAATAGTATTAACAGATCACAAAACAAAAAAGGATGAATAAATAAGTAAAATTAAATTCATTGGAATTAAAATAATTCAAACACAAACTCATAATTCAACGTTATCGTTAATGAAAAATCGAAATTCTTTCGATCATATGACATGATAACAAAGATAAGATAAACACGAGGAATTCATTTTGTCGAAATAATAACAACATTTTTGACGTTTTCGATTAATAGATTGATAATCGATAATCTTTCCTATTACATAACAACGAACGAAAAATAACAGCAAAAGTTCTATGTTAAAATTGGTGATATACAAATGCGTTATTGAAATTTAGAAACATTGCACACACACACACACACACACGCGCGCGCGCGCGCACGCATACAAACGGAACAAGATAAAATGTTTTGGATTACGTGAAATAAAAAACAAATGTAGATTCTTTTTGGCGGAGTAAAATACGCGAGTAAAATATTTTAATAAAAAAATCCAAATAAATGAAATATTTTATTTATTATATATCAATTGAATAATAAAACGAGAAGCGAGGAGGAGATTGAAAACGGACGAATTTTGATGAGATATTCAAGAAGGGCAAAGAGGATCACCGACGACAACAACGATGACGACATACCGGTGCCGGCGGACACGTGGAAGCGCAATCTATCACCGCTGGAGATATGAGCGACGCCGAACTGCTGGACAATCCTGGAGGACACAGTTCCCTTACCGGACGCCGGCGCGCCCAGTATGACGGCCCTGAGGGCCGCGGTCGCAGCGGCGGCGGCGCGACACGTGGTGACCGCTACCATCGGAGGCCGTGATTTAGATAGGCTAATAGGTTCCCGCGATCGGCGAGGATGCGTGATGACGAGTGCCGCGACGGTCCGCATCGCCCGCGTCGGACTCTATCCTCGATCCCTACTACTAACCGCGGCGAACTTTGATACGCGGCGATAAGGCCGCGGATAATCGTCGCGGCACTCCGGCGACGCGCCGTGACGCGCCGTGACGCAACCGCGACGCGCCGTTTCGTAACGTCGCGTCGGGACGCGCCGCCTCCGCGCAGGCTCGCAGATGACGTCGGCGACGAGGACGTCGTAGAATTGAATTGACCCGCGTCAATGGACGTGCCCGATGCCTGCGAAGTGAACGACTGGACTGGTCGATCGAGACGTTGAACCTTGAACCTTGTAACATCACATAATATAATGATCGATTGCGACGCAGATTTAATACTCTTTCTTTTCAGACTCGGATTGAACTGTGTCGGAAAAATCGATCGCATGCTTTCTCGATGACTTTTCGTTATATTTAAAATCTTATAAATGATCTTACGAGATTTATCTTTTCATCTGACTAATGAAAAATAGTAATTTGGTATAAAATATCTCGAGATCATTCTTAAAAAAGTCTTAAATATAAAATAATATCGAATTATGATTCTTCGTATCGTCTTCTGTTCCGTTTCTCATTTCGCCTGTACAAAGTTCGTGTGATTTTCAAAAAAAGAATTCCCAGATTGCAAATTAAGTAGATTAATTATTTTCCAATATGTTCGCCTAGATAAATGTAATTAATCAAAAGTTGCAGAGTTGCAGTAGCAATGCGATAAGGAGAATCGTTCAATTTAATTTAAAATTCTATCAAATTTTTAAGCATAGCGAAAAACAGCCGCGATAATACGACAGATCACGTGTCATTAATGACTTGAACGTATCTGTGTATCAATATTGGCAACACTGTTGGCGGCAAGTTAACTACGAAAATCGTAGTCATTTTCCTTTGAATTTTACTTCTTTTCACACTATCTGCGTTATGGATGAATCGCGGAATCTGTAATTAGGATCTGTAATTAGGATTATTATCTAATTTATCGAGATGTCGAAGAATTCTTACAACGAGATGATTCAACAGATCAATGAAGCGCAAATGCAGCTGAAAATCAGACTCGAACAAGTATCGAAGCTGCGAAGTGAGTATTCGAGAATGTTCTTGAGAATTTAACACGTTGAATTCGCGCTAATCAATTGATAACCGGCGTTATTAATTTCAATATGATATAAAAATATATGAAACTCATGAACAATGATTTATAATTGTTATTAATTTTAATTATAAAATTAAAAGTTCATATGAACATATATATTTATTTTTAATTATAAAAATTTAAATCAATATATATATGTGTGTGTATATATATATAT